ATATTTTAAAGATGATTGGATCTTAGAATTGTAAGAGGTCCCTGGTGTCATGACTTTGCTGGCATTATCAGCTCAGCCATTGTCTTACCAAGCAATCTCCTACTGAAACGTGATGCTCCCCCGTTCCCATCCCACACCACAGAGGAGGGAGCTGCACAGGCACCCACGGAGGAGGCTCACTTAAGAATCAAGGGATGGGGAAGAATGAGGATGCCTCTCCCAGCCTGCTCGCACGACCTTGGGAGTGTGGGAAGGTGTCCTTGCAGCACCAAGGGAGCCTCCCGAGCTTTTTCCCCTACTTTCCCTTTCTTTTAACTTTTGTTTGTATGTATGCCCGTTGACAGTGTCATCTCTTAACTTGATAAACTTGTCAGAGGGAGCTCCGGGAAAGTGTGACACAGCGTTGGAGTGATTGCTGAGTATGCAGGGAGAAGAGGCTGGGGAGTTGCTGGTGGCAGCGGGACGTTAGCCTGGGGGCAGGCAGATGTTCTGGGGTGTTTGTGACTCTCGTGCACTACTGCCAAAGTGCAGTCTTAGCAGACCAGGGCCCTGGAGGAGGGAAGCTTCATGAACCAGAGTGCAATGTGGGTGGATGGCACCAGCCAAGCCGTGTGTGTGTACCAATGTACACATGGGTACTGTTTGCATGGGGGCTCTTCCTGAGACAGGCCACCTGTGGCTGTCTGTCTGGAGCAGCTGGATGTGAGCAGTAGGTGAGGGTTGAAGGGCGGAGTGCATTAGCCCTCTCAGGATGAGGCAGATGGAAAAGTATGATGTGGGTGTTTCTTCTGAACCCTTCTACCACTTTCTTCTTAAAAGATGTTTTTTGGATGGGCAACTGGAATCCATAATCATCTCTAATCATGGAAGTTTAAAAATTATCCAAAAAGCATCCTTTCTGCTTAGAGGGTAATCTAGCAATCCCTGTATTCCTCAGAGTGACACAGTGCATTACATGTCACTGGCATTCTATTGATATTAACCAAACAAATGTCAGGTGAGTGAGTGAAACTCAGAACCTCATTTTGGCCTGACCTAATTTGCTGGGGTGTAGGGATAATCCATATTAAGTAATGTGGGGTGAAGGAAGTAGAAAGATCTGAATTTGAATACCAGCTCTGTCCAAATTACTTTTGTTCTCTAATCCTCAGTTTCCTCATCTGTACAATGAGAGACTTGAAAATGCATTACTGAGGCCATCATCCAATAATCTAACTTCCAGATAAAAATCCCAACTGCTGCTGTGGGGATCAGTACCGCTATGCCGGGAAAGGGTATTTGAAGACTGCAAAGCTCACTACAAATTCAGGAGGACTGTCCTGGGCTTCTCAACTAGCATAGGTTCCATTATCACAGGCCTACAGCACCACAACATACCCTCACAACCAGGCCCACCTTCATTGTTCTCTCTGGAGGGAGGACTTGGCACTCTGCCAGTGGAACAGGTGTCTTCTTTGTTCTATACTATCTAATATTATAATAATCTTCTGTCCCAGTGTCTCTGAGTGATTAGAACATATCTCAGGTGCTGCCTTGAAGAGTGGAGGCCAAGAAATTCATCTCACCTGGGAATTGCAATAATTGCTTCATGGTGCCCTGCCTAGAGTGAGATATTTATATAAAATACGATTTAGGTCTAAAAACAAGGGAAGTTGTCAGAGCTCAGGATTATTGATACAAATGTTAATGACAATACTGACAACTTAATGTGAAGAGCTCTGGTTGTGTCTAGGTTTCTAAGCTGGGAGGGAGGTAAAATTAATAAATTAGGTCAGTGACAATACCCAGAGAGGGAGGGAATGATCCTCCTAGTTCATTGGATCACCTTTTTTGGCCTTCACAGAAAGGGCAGCATGTTGGAAGCACAGTGTCGCCAAAGACACACCCCCCACACAGAGGAATGAAACTGCTAATAGAATTAATATATTAATTAACTGAGCCATGGATGAGCTCTACTCCATCAAATAATATGGCAAATAAAAGTAACCCTATTGTTAGTATCCGCACTGCTCATGTTCAAATAAGGATAACAACTGAGTTTGGGTTGTTAGCATCGTGTCAAAAAAAGAGCGGGTAGAATCTAGAATCTTCGGGTCTTGTTCCCAGTTTTACATTGGCCAGCCTCATGACCTCTGGGCCTCAGTTTCCTTAACAGCAAAATGAGGGGGTTGGACCAGAAGACTTCTAAAGTCCCATCTGGGTTTGACATTCTGAAGTTCAGCATTGAGTGTAATTTCATTGGTCTTTGTTGATGCAGAAGCCACTTCAGGACCCTACGGTGCCTGTGTCGCCATTTTGAACATCAATGGCCTTTGTCTGGGAGAGTGCGAGCTACGGAGAGCCCTGATTAATAGAATGCGAGATCACAGGGCAGGCTGCCGCTTTCTTCTTTTCTGCAGCACTTCTCTCCTTGGGGAGCTAAATAAGACTGGTCAGTTTTGCTTCTTTTTTTTTATTTTCTGGTTTTTATCTACACCTCCAGCAGAGATTTTGGTTTTTCATTTACTTTCACTGCAGGTTTCAATCTTCCCCACCCCCAAAACAATATCCTCTACCCTGTTGCATGAAATAAAAGAAAAGCTTCAAATTGGCTCTGCCTCCTTAAGCTTTTGGAAACTTTTTAATGTGCAGGTCTACAAAACCTAAATTTGGGGCCTGCACTATGCGGCGGTATCTCTTTGCCTCAGAGGAATCTTCTGGCTTTTCTCCATTTCAAAGCACCTAGGTCCACACAAATGCTCTCGAAGAGAGAGCTTTTTTTCCCCCCTTAGCAAAAATTCAGGTCTGTCACCAGGAAAGAAGAGGTTTTTCTGTGGAAATCTTCCTCATGCCGGTTATAAAGCCACTCACATCTCAGTATGAACTCTGCTAGCTTGCTCCGTTGTCTTTGTGAGTGAGAAGCAAAATCCACACAAAGGTATAAAGAGCTGATCCATATAAAGATTGCTCCCTGGATTTCCATTGGGCAGCAGCTTTCTGATGACTGCCTCTTTGCCGTAGACAGCTGTGCAATTGAGACAGCAGCAGGACTCCAGATGTGCTGGGACTTGCCAGGCAGCAGACTTAGAAGTTTGGCCAAATCAGCCCCAGATAATCACCAGGAAGGAAAAAAAACAAAATGCAGGGCTGGTCCAGAGTCTTTGTGTTACTTAGGAACTGGGGGATTAGCCCAGGACAGAGATGGAGCAAGTTGCAATGGAAGGTCTACTTCTCATAGATTGTGTGAGGTCTTTTCTTTGGCTACAAGAAACTTGTGGGACATTGGCGCTGAGAGAACCTATTTACAGAGTAGCATAGCATGGTAGTTAGAAAGCTGGGCTCATGAGTGGAGCCAATCTGTTTGAATTTTGGCCCTGCCTCTGACTAGCTGTGTGACCTTGAGGCTACTTTGTAGGGTTTATGCTTACAAAGCAATTAGAACATGCCTGACACACTTAATCATAGCTGCCCCTCCTTTTACAAGGAAGCATTTAACAACTAGCAAGGCACCGAAACTAGATAAAGATCAAATAGTTAGTAGGTAATAAAGGTTAGTTAAAACTCAGTTCTATCTCCCAGTGGAGTATTTTCACTACACCAGCATCTCCAAATTCACTTGTTGATAAGAATCACTTGGTTGAGCGACTCTTGAATGGAGTCAGGAATCTGAATACGAATCAAACGCTCCACATGAGTCTTAAAATGCAAAAGATGAATGTGAGAAAGACCGTCACTACGCCACAGTGGCTAAGATGAAATTTCTCACAGAAAGACGCTCATAAATTCATTATGCATCTCTTCTATACACACGGAAGATGGGAAAACAAACCATGAATCTCAAGGAGTAAAAAGGACCCCAGAAAGAAAATCTAAACAGTCCTTGGTAATTGTCTTTGAGCACACAAAGTAACCAACTTTTCACAGAACTTCCAGAGTGGGAAAAAATGTGTTTGACTCACTGTGTGTGGTCTCCAATAGCAATGGTTGAGAAGGCTTGTGGTGGCTTTCTCCGTCATATTTTAGTGTGGTCAGTCGGCTCTGGGGTGATCTGGCTTTTCCCGGGACTTTGCTAGAAATTAGGGAGCTATCTGGGGCTCGTACATGTCAGGCATTCAAAGGAGAACACAGAAAAAGGGCCCCTCAGGTGAGAACAGTAGAGAAGCAGATGGTAAAAAATGCTCTTGGTGTCTCTTGAACATTAACGCCCTGGAAACTCTGTTTTAACTTTGGGTTTTTATGGTTACTTTGGGCAACCACAAAGGATAACAGAACTGTGGTAGCAGCTATGCTGGGAGAGAAGCACGTGTCCTAAAGCATTTTAGGTACAAAGGCAGGTGGCCAGCTCCACTGCAGGTTGCGAAATGGAAAAGCCCATTGTCGTTTTGGACTTTGCAGGGAGTCGGGAGTAAATAATACTTCTCATATAGCTTTAGCCCTGTGCTATCTTAATTGCAATCTCTGGTGAGATTTGGAGTTATACGTTTTTAACAAGCAAACCATAAAATAAGGTTTAATCTCCCCAGAGCCCTGGAGTTAATTTATCTGTCCACAGGCTAAGATCTTTTTAAAGGTTAGGAATGCTTGGGTTTTCTTTCTAGGTCTCTGGGTTGGCTGGAACGCCTGCAGGTATCTCCTATGGCTGGCGGCTGGAATCTGACTTTCATCAGCGCTAAAGACCCAGCCCTTAGGAACCTCTGCAATAAGAATCAGGTGTTGGATTCAAGAACCATATCCGGTCCTGATGGAAAGAAATTTGTCTTCCTTAGGACCCTGTCTGTGGCAGAAAATACACATGATTTATCCTCAGAAGAAAAGGGGTCTGAGTCTTTGCTCTACAACTAGGAACTGTGGGATTTGGGGGAAACCATTTATCTCAGCTTCAGTTTCCTTGTCTGTAAAATGGGCATCATACAATCTCTCCTGGAGTCTTCACAAGTGTTCTGTGAACATTAAATGGTATGTGGATGGCTTTTATAAAAGGGTAAGGCACGAAATAGTTGTTAAGTAAGTTACTTGCTTACCTGTTCTTCCAGGTGGAGTTTGTTGTCTTTTCAAAGAAGATTTTCCAGCGAAGCCATGCCATGGGGAAAGTTCCCAGGTATTCAAAGCACATCGAAACCCAATCCTGCCTCTCAGCTGGGCAGCACAGATTCATTGCCAAGATAGAAAGAGCACAGGTTATGACTCAGGCCTTGGGCCTAGTTGCCTTGCAGAATAGACATACAGCCAGCCCTCCGTGGATTCGACCAACTGTGGATCAAAAATATTCAAAAATGTGTTTATATTGAACATGTACAGACTTTTTCTTGCCATTATTCCTGAAACATTAGAGGATAACAGCTATTTGCCCTAGCATTTACATTGTATTAGGTGTTATAAGTAATCTAGAGGTGATTTAAAGCGTGCAAGGACAACATGAACATCCATGGATTTTGGTATCTGCGGGAGGTCCTGGAACCAATCCACCACGGATCCCAAGGGACGGCTGCACACACATGACTTCCACTGTTCAGTTCAGCGGGGCCAATTGCCCTTGTCACAGCACCTTTCCTGCCCTTGCTAATTTCAGGAGAATTTGATGACTATTCCAGATTAACTGGTTGAGGGTCTACTCTCATCCATCCTGCATTGCTGTACCCCATGGGAACAAAATAAGAGGAGTCTGCTTGTACTCTTGGTGGAGGTGAAGGAGGAAGGGCTCCAAACAATGGGTTGACATGGCCCATTATTTACAGGCCACCCTACAGACTTCCACCACCTGGAATTCATAGCCCCCTTGACTGGCATTTCCACCTCAAAGTCCTGTTACAACCCTCCCACCTCGCCTTCCTCCCTAACACACTGTGCGCTTACCCCTGGTCATATTTGCTATCGTCTGCTTTGATGACTCTTCTTGCTGGATGGTCTTTCCCTTTTATCTCCCGCCAACTCATTTTACCTGTGAGATCTCAAACATAAGGCCGCCTCTTCCAGAAAGCCTTCCCAGATTAACCCCATCCCTAACTCCCATCACCCTTTTCCTGTAAATCCCTTGGAATCTGTATATTTGATTGAGTTATCATAATAATCTCTCATCAAAGTCAGCATGGCCAAGGATGAGGATGGTGCTTACTCAACCAGTGGTCCTTGGGAAAAGCAATTCTGTCTTCCGAGCCCTGCTCCCTTGGAGCCTGGCTAAAGTCACCCATAGGGAAGCTGCAGATGGACAGAGACCAGGTTTAGGAGGTAGGGGAAGCTAGTGCCGTGGTTTGGCAGTTCTCCCAAGCCCCACATTCAAGTGTGTTTACATGTTCCTAGCCTTCTCAGTGGCAAGCCATGTGCCAGGGATAAAGGATTAGGGAGTATGTGTCAAAAGGGAACAGAATTGTTTCTCTTCAATATAGTATTAATCCCATCACTCCACACCTCATAAGTCTTTCCTGGTTTATCATGATACAAAAAAGAAAAGCTACATTCCTCAGCCTGGTAGACCAGCCTCACACAGCTGCACTCCTCACTGCAATGCTCCACCCCTCATCACTCTCCTCCCCAGCCCCATTCCCTGGATCCCCCTTAGGCTCAAACAATACCTTCCTAGTTAAAGTACCCAAACACACTAGTACTGCCTCTCCTCAGCACCTTTCTTCCGTGGTTCCCTCCATCTGGAACTTCTTTTGCCATCTTTCTACTTGCCCAAATGTAATCCAGGCAGCTGATCTCCCTGAGTCAGAGTCAAGTTTGCCTTCCTCAGGCTCCCAGACTGTGTTGTTTTTTGTCCGCTTATATTTACAGGATTCAACCACCTTCTACTAGAGGTACGCCGTGAGGAGGGCCACTTCCCTGCTGGGCTGGGACTCTGTCTTCATCCTGCCACCTAGTTTGACACCTGGCATTCGGGAGTCACTCAACCAATACGAAGCAGAATTAAGTTACTAAAGGACGCTGCAGGACATCGGGAAAACCCCCAACCTTCCTAAGTCTTCTACCACATCCTCCCCGCCCTGTGCCTGTCCTCAGCGCAGCATCAACACCCAGGCAGGCAGGGCTCCTCCTCTTTGTCCTCATCCTCGTGGTGTTTGCAGGCTGTACTGGCAGCCAAGGCCTCCTGTTGGGGACCTGCTCCTGCCTCCTTGGCCCAAGACAGGAGGCCGGCAGCTGCTGAAGCTGGACCCATGAAAGAGGAGCCTGTGGTCCGTCTCTACCTGCCTCTTGTGCCTCTCGAAGAGAGACTCGGCCTCTCCCATTTGCTTTTGTCTGTGGCTTTGAAGCTATTTGGGAGACACCTTGAGACAGCTGGGGAAACAGCAATAATCCAGTTGAAGCATCTGACACTCTGGACTGGTGGCATCTTGGCGGGGAGGCAGTGGACACGTGGGGGCTATTGCTGGTTTCGTCTGTGATATGTGTTTCACTGGCTGTCGATATCTACATGGAAAATACTCACAGTGAGATTCGCAGATAAAAACCAGTGGCCTCTGCTTCCTCCCTGGGGTGTTTTCATGAGAAATTGGTTTCTGGACAGGGAGGGGACAAGACTCTTTCTTTTTTCCCTCATCTTGAGGGCATTTGGAGGGGTATGAGACAGAGGAAAAGGTGAAGCAGGGGGAAAGTAAATCGAAGGAACCTCAAGGTGTGAAAAGTCACAAATATCTCCCTGGGTGAGAGAGCGCTCCTTCCTGTGTTGATGTTTTTTCTCCTGCTCTTACCTCAGTCCATTTCCTCACTTCCTCTCTTTACTCTGTAGGTCATTGTCACTATCCCATCTCTGGGCATCTCAAGGGGTTCTCTGAGCCCAAACAAAGCCAGAAACTGTCCCTTGGAAATTAGAGCAGAAGGCCCCACAACATCAAAGCTCATGGCAAGAACTTGCAAACAGAGCTGAGCTGGCACCTGAGGGGGGGTGCTGCTGCTCCTCCCATCTCCCCACTCCAAGTGGCTCCCAGCACCCCGCCCCCAATTCCCATTTCAGCCTCCCTTGCCCACCTTCCAGCCACCCCTTTCCTGAGTGCACCTGAGTCACAGCATCTGCTCAAGCCCCCCACACCGCCCCAGGCCGGGGCCCCAGGAGGCTTTCCCCACACCCCGCTCCAGGCTGACTTGACTGTGTGATAGCTGGGAAAAGTTAAATGCTCTTCCCTTCATTATCAGAAAGAGTTTTATTCTGACTGAAGTGAACAATATGAAGAGACACTACAGAGCTCTGGCGAAGGATGAAAAGTTTCTTATATCCACAGAGCCGCACTTCAAAGTGTCCTGTGAAAAGGTTCCACTTTAATTAGGGGGAGGAAATTGCCATGTAACTTAATTAATATCAAAAACATTTTTTTTCCTTCAATACAAGAAAGAAAGATGGCTACAGAGAGACGGGGAAAGGAACTGACACTGAATGTGGACAGGCCTGCTCGTGGCCAGCATAATGATAAACTTTGTTTCTAATTACTCCAAATATGTCCTGGGTTCAATTAAGAACTCTAAAGCCACAGAGGGTTCTTTGCCACAATGGAGGGCTTCCTCCTTCATCCCTGATGCACTGGCCTTTATACAAAATAAAGTGAAAACCTGAGATGGTTTTATTTCAATTATCTAGGAAGTATTTGCAGGAAGTGGTATGGGAGAGCGGGATCATCAGCTCCAAGTGCCTCTGATGGACACGCTCCTTCAAAGGCACTCCATCCCTGTCATACGGCTCACCTTCCTCTCTCCCAGCTGCTCTGGGGGAGACTCCTGGGCATTTGCCTGGTTTCCCTTGTCTCTTCAGTATCAAGTCATCAGATCTTTCCTACCTCCACACTATCTCTCAAATCTATCATCTTCTCTATTGCCACCATGCAGAGTCACTTCTCATCTACCCCAAAGGATTTACAAACAAGCTCCTAACTGCTGTTTTCATTTTTTCCTTCTTGCCCACTGGAACCCAGTCTTCAGCCAGCAGCCAAAATGACCTTTTATAAGACATAACATCATGTCATTCCTTTGCTCAGAAACCTCTGATGCTGTCTCGTCATTCTTGGAAAGAAAACTTAAGATTCCTTAGCAAGGACCACCAAGACCCTGTTTGATTTTGCCTGTCTGGCTCTCTCATTCTTGTTCTTGACCACCAGCCAGAGCGTCAAAGTCTTTGTCATGTTCCTTCTGTTTGGGACACTCTTCCAGACCTGCTTCACCCACTAGATCTCAGCCTACATTATCCTTATTTATCTTTTTTGAGTCCTGACTTAAATATTACCTACTCTGGGAAGGATTATGAGACACCATTTCTCCCGCCCCCTGTCTAAGTTAAATCCTTATGTTACATACTCTGGTAGAATACTACACTTCTTAACACACATCATAATTGTAATCAATTAACTGTGTGGCCAAATACTAGTTTGATATTTGTCCCTGGACTGTAAGCAGGTAGAAGTAGAGACCATGTCTGTTTTGTCACAGTTATGTGCCCAGCTGCCTACTCAGAATCATGGCAAACAGTGTTCTAATCTCCATGAGATCATGTCAATCGCATAACAAGCCAATAAGGTGTACTATATCATAAAACCCATTTCACACATGTAGAATTTGAAGCACAGAGGCCAAATACTCTCAAAGTCATGCAGGTAGCAGATGGCAGTCTTGTTCCTGAGTCCTGCTTTTCATCACTATGCTATGCTCACATAGGAAGAACCACAATATACAGTTGCTGAAGAAGGAAGGAATCCAGGAAAATGGATCTCGAATAGATGGAGGAGACTGATCAGAAGATACTAGGCGTGATTCTATGGACCCAGCCCTCCAACCCATGGAAATTTCCCATTCTGCCCAATACAATCGGTCCTCAACACTCCCGGGAAAGTCTCCAGCTTCATGACTCTTACTAGGAATGAGCATAACCTGACACAGTGTCCTGAGAATGTTAAGACATGGGTTAAACCCAGCAATTTTTATCTCCTCATTCTTCGCTCCCAGCCAGGCTTCTAGTTCACCCCATTTCCTTGAACTTGAGAATATACAATTAATGTAGAGAGTAGGGCCACAGTCCCCAAACTGTATAACAAACAAGGTGTCCTGGGTCACTGAGAGGGACACAAAGATACTCAATGTCTACTAAACATTGAGCAGATTACCAACTCCAGGGAGTTTACAGCTTCA